CACTGGATCGACGCGATGAGCAAAACAAAATACTCACGCTTGAGTCGCCCTGCTTACGTCCTCTCAGAACACATATTTTCCAAGGTCGCAGTTAAGGCCTTTTCAATTACTTTTAAAAGCCATTGTCATGCTTTTGCAGCACCTTGCAGCACCGGGATGTAGTCTGTCTTTTGCCTGAAGCTGCAGCTCCTGGGGACGATGAACTGCATACGTGGTATCGAAAATGAATGTGTGCATGAATTGTAACCCTTCAAAGGGCATTTTACCCATGAATGATCTGTAATCAATATTATCGACCCAGTAACACTCTTAAACCTGCTGTGTCAAAAGTAACCCAAATTGGGTGTGATAGCTAACCTGGAGTTTGGTCCGAAAAGGATTGAACCAAGGCAGGGTTATCGATAGCCATAACATTGATTATTTGATACATATACAAATACAAATTTTACTAACAACACCTATTAAAGGGGAAGTCAACCCAAAGATTGTCTTTACTTTGTTGGAAAATAGAGCTTCTAGAGAGTCTAAACACGCCATTCTGATTAACATTGTGCTTGTGGAATATGATTTAAGCAAGAAAATCCAGCCATTTTCTGAAGCTGAGCCATGATTTGTTGTTACCCGAGCCTTGAGCAACCGTAATGTCATTTTCAGTCGACAGCAAGTGGCTGAATGGCCGCCCTTTGAGATGGTTAAAAATGGGTGGATTTTGCTGCTTTTGTCATATTTCACAAACACACAATATTAATCAGAATGCGATGCTTAGATGAGTGGAGGCACATACAACATATCATTGTAAGGAAACATTTTGGGTTGACCTCCCCTTTAAAAAGAAGCAACTTTTCCCATTCAGGGGCCACCACAAGTCACTTATCCAAGATATGTTTTGCAGTTGTTGATTTTTTTAAGACGTGACGCACTTCCTGTTGCAACCCACCCATTTCATGGGTGGGCCATCCACCTTAACAAGTTCATTCATTTATTCATTCATTCATTTTCCGATCCGCTTTATCCTCAGAAGGGTTGCGGGGGGTGCTGGAGCCTATCCCAGCTGTCTTCGGGCAGTAGGCGGGGGACACCCTGAACCAGTTGCCAGCCAATCACAGGGC